TCAGTTCGTACTTCGTTGATCTGCGCAACAGTCAAAGTTCGCCATTTTTGTTTATATGAGGACCCATATATCTTCGCACATGCAAGCAGCGCGACGACTACCGCGCTTTAAATGTAGGCATCTCTATACAAGGATGGAATGTACCACGCTTTATCTCATGACCACGATTCATATCATTTACTGTAGTGATGTTTTGTATGAAATATCGCTATCTGATATCACTATCTGATATTTCACATGTCACATAACGTGGCGATATGCACGCTAAGAGACAACCTCATCGCGTGCCATGGTGCCGTTTGTATCGCTGCGGTATGTGAAACTTAGATTTGACAGCAACATTTACTCGCATGGAGAAATTACATTAATTCATAAATGACGACATAAAATTTATTTTAAAGCGGAGAGGTTGTCCCAACTGACGATAACAACGTGTACTTAAAACGCAAATGCTCATGGGTGGACGCTTATTTGTAAACAATAACACGCTATGGCCATCTGACGCATGCGCTGGTGATGACGCCCCCGCTTTAATAACCATTGGCTGACGTAAGTGCGACTGTGTGTTCGCCTACGTTATGACTCGTGGCGTCGGGGCTGTGAATTATCGATTCCGCGTTGGTTCTTTACCTGACTCGGATCAACCAACTCTAAGAGATATCAGATGATAACACCATATTCCAAGATTAACACCTGTTTCAAAATATCTGTAAAGATATTATTTTTCATTCCACAGTTGAAAAGTAATTTTAAAAGCAAGCGGAAGTGGACATTGTATTCATAGTGAATTAAAGATACGAAACTCGAAACATCTCGAGATTCCGTGACCACGTGACTAGGTTACGGAAGAAAGCTTTCTTGTTTTATTCGACAATATCACATTCAATATTTCACTAAATTGAAAGGTAAGATGCATGTCATGTTTTTTTTTTTTACAAATCGGTATTTAGGAGGCAAGTAAAAGAATTGCTCATCCGAGAACCGACTGCTAGCCAGCAACAATTTGTGACATGGTATCTGCGCCCTCGTCGGTAGATCGTGACTTTGAATGCCGATGAGGGCGCAGTGACTCAAATCGAATGTGGTTGGCTCCTACGACGCTAGTTTTTTTTTCCCGAACACCTTGACTTAAAACACAGTCTCTCCCAAAGTGGGTTCTAATGAGGCAATGGGTATTCGATAAATCTGGGAGGGAACAGCTCCATTATAAATAAATGAATTGTGTGTGGTCCATTCATTCTGCAACATTTGACATGGTCAGATATTAAATTTATCAATAAGTATACAATCAATTTGATTACAATACTAAACACGAATAATATGCAGTCACGTGACCTCGAAACTGAGGTTACATATCAAATTGATATACATATCAATCATGTCCAAGAGTAAAACATCATCGTTGACAATAACGTGAATGCAAGCTTGTAAATCCAACAATAATTACATACACGAATAATTGCCTAGTTATAAGAAACACGTTCGTTACAATTCTTGGTGCACAGACAAACTGTCAACTTTGTCAACAAGCTTTGGGAATAATTCGGAGATCATGTGATGCACAAGTGTACATACTGTCCACTTTGAAGACTCGCGGCACTCAGTCTTTGGAATATGGCGTCCAGTCGGAAAGGATGTAAAAGCGTTGGTCCCGTGTGCTGTTCCCGACCTCAGTGCACGTGACATCACAGCATCACGAGTAGCGGATACCAAAGGATGTTTGGAAATTATCCTCGTTCCAGATCGGTTTGTTTGCCTGTCTATCAGCGCAATGAATAAATCTAAATCAGGCGCGCGTCTGATGCGCCGCCATCTAAATCCACGCGTGCATTTTTTAAAACATTTATCAGTTACAAATGCTGAATTGTTTGAGTTCCGGACATCGAGCTACAAAAATGACCACGCCCATATTTCTGTAGCCACGCCCACTTTTGTGAGACCTCGTCCAATTGTAACTCGATGTTCATTTAACAGTTAACAGAACTTGTGTGGCTCTATTGGGCCCGGTTTAGTTATAACCCGAGGTTAGCTTCACGTTAACGTCCTACCATGACAACAGTCGAAAACATGTTTTTTTTTTAGCGGAGCAGATCGCCAACCACTGGCAGCCTACCGGCTTGTGTGTGTATGTTATTTCCAGTGTTTTCACGTATTAATTTTTCTGTCAAACAACTGATTTTGAATAACTTTGCGCCAAATGCATCTCTTCCCTCTAGAATTAAAGACCGTGGACATATCTCATTCTACTCAGCTTGAGTGTGGGCACAAAGTTACTATTTTATTTTTATATCTTGTTTCGCTACTGAGAACTTTGACCTCAAAGTTGGGGTAACTTTTCACCAGTTATGGTTTTCAACTCTTGTGTGCCTTATTTTTTTTGCTTGACCGATTTTGTTCACGATACTTGACAGGCAGGTTATACAGTCACTAATCCTGGCCTGCCGCTGTCATGGCAACAACCACCAAACTGATTTTTTAATATTTTCGCCCCCAAATGTATTACCTCCTACCACAGTGTTCAGATGATCATGTTTTTTTTTTATTTTTGCTAAGTTGCGCACCGACAAGAGATCACCGGCACCGACATTGTTATCCACATAATCCCAGCGCAACTTCGAACTTTGAATGAAGTGTAAATGCTACGTTCAATCAAAGAACTAGAAAATACAATCGCAAAACGATCGGAAATAATATTTATAACAGCAGAATAAGTGCTAGTAATAAAGTGAAGTGACTTCTGATTTTTGCGAACTTCGTATACGGGGCTCGGTTTTAGTTACAATCCTACTTTAGTCGGCTTCACGTTCATGTCCTACTATGGCAACAGCCAAACACGTGTTGTTTGTATTTGGGCGGAGCGGAGCGCCAATCAGCCTACCGGCTTGTAATGCTAAGTATTATCTAGTTTGTAATAAAATCGTGGAAAATACTCATTTCTGTAAATTTCTACCTGACCAAACAATCCGATGTCAAAAATAATACTACTTTTTTACTCAAAACTCGCAAATTCGCAGTATGACTTCGTTAAGGTGTAGCAACTCGGACGCAAACGGTAGTTCGGCGTTTTGGAGGTCGAGGCTCTAGTAAACTAGAAGCCAGGTTTACAGGTCGAAAACCGCCGTTAGCTAACTTACGCTCATGTTATACATCTAGTGATTGTAGTCTGGTTGGTGACACAGTGGTATTGAAGTTGATATATTTTAAAGGATATTCCTTGTTTACCTTTTTACCGAAACAATCAACTCGATTTTATTGGTTAGCACTTAGCATTAAATGTATTAAGCATCTTGTTTTTCTACTATCCAGTGGGCTATCTGTACATATTTATTAGCCATCGAAGTGTTTGAAGTATTTTATTTTTGTTCCTGGTAAACAGTTTATGGGTTTACCAGTGGCTAGTGATTGTGACACATGTCAAAATCAAACGTGTGTTTTTCGCGTATTCTCGATTATTGCGTTTATCACAATCTGTCAGGTTCCTAACACTCACACTCATATACTAATTGTAGTACTTACTTCAGCCGACGTGTTTTGTGTTTTATGCTTTTGATTTTGCATTTTGAAAAAATATAAGTTATATATGTGCCATATATATGTTTCCTACTGAATCAAACCATCCGGTATTAACCATG